CCCGGCCTAAGTTACAATTCTTCGCATTTAGCCTTCTATCTTAAGAACCTCACCCCTCACACTAGATAAAAAAATGATGTAAAAAACTCATGATTAAATGTTATCTATGTTCAAACCCAATTTCAATATCAAAGTCAAGATTCATTCATTAATTCAACCAACAGGAATTGAGCATCTCCCATATGCCAGGTACTCTTTGGTACTCAAGATACATGCATGACAAGGTCTCAGAATAGGGCCGCGAAACGAAAATTTCATCCTTATAACAATTTCACAAGATAGCTACTTAATAGGCCTAAAGGAGGAAAGTAAGATTCAGAGAGAATAAGTCACTTGCCCGGTGGCTAATGGAGGAAGCGCAACGATAATCCACGTCGATCTGCCAAGCCTGGGCTCTTCCGCTGCACACAGCCCCAAGCCCTCGCACCAGTCAGGGGACATTAGGCTGGGCTGGAAGCAGCTCTCTAGTATGTCACACAGACCAACTCTCCTCAGCGTGCGCTCCTGGAACACTACTGCTGTGTACTACTCCAGCAGTCAGGCAGGCAAGAGAAGCTAACTTTGATTAAATAGAAAATAAATTATTTAAAGGATATTGGGTACCTCAGAAGGTCTAGAGATACAGTTTCAAGTTCCAGAAAAAAAATGCCCAAACCCATCCCATAGAACTGGCCAGCTGGGGAAACTGATGGCACCACCACTGAGCACTACCCAGTGCCCTGCAATAGAAACGCAGCTTTACCGCCTCCCCACGTGCCTGTGCCCCAAATGCGGGAGTCAGGGAAATTTCCAGGGTTGTCATGGGGGAGAATGGACAGATACAGCTGGCCTTCCCCACACCTAGCAAGGATACTCAAAAGGAGCCGGGCAAGACTGGGCACAGTGGCTCATGCCTGTAGTCCCAGTACTTTGGGAGGCTGAGTTGGGAGGATCACTTGAGGTGAGGCATTCAAGACCAGCCTGGACAGCATAGTAAGACCCCATCTCTACAAAACATTTAAAAAAATTAGCCAGGTGTCATGGCATATGCCTGTAGTCCCAGCTACTTAGGAGGCTGAGGTGGGAAGATTGCTTGAGCCCAAAAGTTTGAGATTGCAGTGAGCTATAATTGCACCACTGCACTCCAGCCTGGGCAATGGAGTGAGACCCTGTCTCTCAAAAAAGAAAAAAGTTTAAAAAAAAAGAGGAGTTGGGCAGACACAAACCACAATAAACACCCACAGAGCCACAATGAATGTTAATAGGTCTTTGATGAAATGGCAGCGAAGCAGGCAGTTAAACAGGTTTCTCTATTGCGGGGCCGCTTGGAGCTTTTAATATGCTATAGAGCAGAATCTCCAAGAGGAAGGTGTAATAACTCCCAAACACTGTGACGGGAGAAACTTTATCTCTGTAACAAATTGCATAGGCTGGGAAAAGTGGTGGTGGTGGTGGTAGGCTTTGTGCTTAATCACTTCCTCTCCCGTCCTCTGCTGAGTCCCACTCTTCCTTCCCAGATTCCACTACCTGAACTCTAATTCAGGGGCCCGAATCTCTCACCTGGACTGTAGCAGCAGCTTCCAACTGGCTTCCCAGGTCATGCCCCTTCAGTCATCACAAAACGCAAATCCGGGTAAGTCACTTCCCTAACGCAAAACATTCTGATGGCTTCCTATTGCCCTCCTGAAATACCACGTTCTGGTTCCCACTTCCCATCTTCTCTCTTGTCACAACTCCCCTCCAAAACTGCTCCCCCCACTCCCAAAACACACCAGGTATGTTTGGTAATCAACTTCTTTAGAAAGCCTTGTCTGGCTTGGTCCTCTTCCCACGGGTTCCTACAGCATCCTACACTTTTACCTTTCATAGCACTTAAACCACCTGGCAACTGACAACTGGTCTCTATTTCTCACCAGCAAACAAGTTCTGAGAGGGCAGAACTTATTCCTCCTCACACTTTTTTTTGTTTTGAGACAGAGTCTCACTCTGTCACCTGGGCTAGGGTGCAGTGGTGTCATCATAGCTCACTGCAAGCTCAAACTCCTGGGTTCAAGCGATCCTCCTGCCTCAGCCTCCCGAGTAGCTGGGACTACAGACATGCACCACCATGCCCGGCTAATTTTTTCTATATATTTTTAGTTGTCCGATTAATTTCTTTCTATTTTTAGTAGAGATGGGGTCTCGCTCTTGCTCAGGGTGGTCTCGAACTCCTGAGCTCAAGCGATCCTCCCACCTCGGCCTCCAGAGTGCTGGGATCACAGGTGTGAGTCACCGTGCCCGGCCCTCACACATTTTTAATATGTAGCCAACACTCGCCACGTCAAGTGCCATCTGTAACGGTGATGAAAGAACACACCTCGGAACTTTCAGGTAGCAAATATGGTTTTACTAATATTTTGTCTCTCACACACTCGAAAAGACTTGCATAGCAGACATCAATTGTCCACTAAAAACATTAGTTTTTAAAATGTTTGTGTTCCACGTTGAAGCCGACAAGATGTACTTACTTCCTATGTTTAGTGGGGGAAAAAAGGAGGGGAGAAGATAGAAATTATACTTCCCCTTTGTAAAAGCATATAAAAAGTCCAGAATCTGGAGAATGAGACCCAAATTTCTACGGTTTCGACAGGACTGGGAGCGACAGAGGCACTTAGCTGCTGATGAAGGCAGGACATTTGTCAGCTAGGATTCCAGCACGGACTCCACAAAATGCCAATCAGAGCACCCCAGAAAGCAGCACTAGCAGGTAGCCGCAGCTTTAATATTTTTGGTGAGGTTGTTCAAGAAGAGGAAGACACTTAGACACCTAAACACCATTTTCTTAATCATTGGGGGCCAAATATTCTTTCTCTTTGCATTTAATCCAATATTCAGGAGTTTGGTTCAAAAGATAAGCTGAATTTCCTCATGATTATCTCAACCAGGATGTTGACTTAGGGCAAAGTGGCAACAAAGAGATTTTGGGTTTTGTTTTTTTTTTAATACTGTGAGGATTTGGCTTAACAACTAAGCTTACTGAGCAAAATGTGAGCATTGACTCTGCAGCCAAGCACTGTTGAAGTGCTTTAGATGAATTAACACTTTAGTACTCAGCATAAACCTGGAAGGCCGGCATTATGCCTACCACCTACATTTTATCTTCCTATACCTAGTAGGTTGGCATTATGCCTCGTTAATCAATGAGCAAATTGTTATGTAACTTTCCTAAAGTTATAAAACTATTAAGTAGCAGATCTGAGATTCAAATCCAGACAGCGTGGCCTAGGAGTCTACATTCTTCACATTATAACAGCTCTTAACAAACGGAACACACACAAACATCCTTTCAATCTGAGCCAGATACTTGCAGGCTCTGTCTTGAAGAAGTCGTGGGGAACTAGAGTAAGGAAGGACAATTTGCAAATCTGAGACTGTTTTCCCCATCTGTAAAATTAGAGGATGGGACTCGGTAACTTCCTGACAGTGTGGGAGAGGGGACGAGAGGGTGGAGGTGGCGGTGAGACCGTGGGGTGGCATGGATCCTTGGGTCAATACGACCAAGACTTTCTCAGAAAATGAATTGTTCTGCTAGAAGTAAAAGTATGAAAAATTTCTGGAACTACCACAGAATTCTGTTTTTTCTGGGAGTCAATGAATTGCAAGTAGCCTGTCATCAGGAAATTCCCTCCTGATGCAAGTGCATGGAACTATGAGTGTGCACAGGTGTATTTTTGTAGGGGAGAAGAGTCTTTTATCAAATACTCAAAGGAGTACCTGACTCCAAAAAAGTTAAAGACCTATAAAATATTCAGCTTTGTAGTTTGGAGAAAATTGCCAATCCAAGTTTGTAAAGCGCAACATGAGAAAACCTACATCTTATGATTAAAAGCCAAATGTTCACTCTGGGAGGCCGAGGTGGGCGGATTGTTTGAGCTCAGGAGTTCGAGACCAGCCTGAGCAAGAGCGAGACCCCGTCTCTACTAAAAATAGAAAGAAAATATATAGAAAAAAAAAATTAGCTGGGCATGGTGGCGCATGCCTGTAGTCCCAGCTACCCGGGAGGCTGAGGCAGGAGGATCACTTGAGCCCAGGAGTTTGAGGTTGCTGTGAGTTAGGCTGATGCCACAGTACTCACTCTAGCCCAGACAGAGTGAGACTCTGTCTCAAAAAAAAAAAAAAAAAAAAAGACAAATGTTATTAGACTATCATGAATAGGGCATATTAAAAGTAATAATAGCCTAATAAACTGGGCACCTACAATCACTACTTAAAACTTGCTCTACTGGACACAGAGTTAAAGTAAAATATTTCAACTGGAACTCAGCTGTATCTGATACATGCAATGTTTTAAAATATTTTCAGAGTTACAGACTTATAATAAACCAAAGAAAAGCCCAATCACTGGTTATATATAAAGTATTTATTTTTATGCACATATTTACCTACAAAATTTACAGAAAATAAAACAAAGCAGAATGTATAGAATGCCCTCTTAAGACTTTTTAGGAACAGAGGATTTTATTGCTGCAGTTCAAAGAATAAAATTTTATACATGTGAAAGCTAAGATGAACATTTAAGTTAAATTGGCAGCCTTATTAAAAAGTTTTTGTCTTGTTATTGAATTTTCAACTTTATGTTAAATGAAATTTAAAAGATTGCTCATGAAATAATTTAACCTTTTCAAAATCTTTTAATAAACAGGTAAAAGGCACCTCTAGTACTTTAAAATATTTACAGCAATCCCAATAGTTTAATTTTAAGGGCTATTATAGTACACGTGGCTATTATGCATACACAGTATGTCATTAACACTCTCTGAACAGTGAGACTCGTAGACTAGTTTGTGGTCCGGCTCCCACGTTATCCTGCAATGGAGCGGGATGATCAATCACACCCGTGCGACACCAGTGTAACGGCACGTCCACCACAGCATGAGATCCAGTTATCTAAAACAGTGACTGTCAAATTCCCAGACAACACATAATTTATAACTAAACTTGCATATTCACAAGCATTTGGGGTGTTCTTAAAATTATTAAAAAAATATAAAGGATATTCAGCATTAAATGAAAACAATAAACTGAAAAATATAACCACAACAGTTGCTGGAGTTCCATATCTAGTTTAACAAAAAGTGTTTCTCAAAACATCTATAATTTCTTACAACATAATGAAGATGAGTTTTCCTTATGAATCCAATGTTTGTCCCGCAGTATGATTACAAGAGAAGTGTATGTCACTTATCTGTTCTTTTGAAAGAAAAAAAAAGTGTAAGAATGAAAGGCACACATAATAGCCGGTCTTAAAGAGCTGGGGGATGGCAAGCAGATGTGCCTGGAATACTGGCGCAGGAGAACAAAGTCCATACGACATTTTCCTCTTTGTTTTACATTGGCATTGATTTGCTATTTACAGTAGTCTGCAAAAATACATTACAAAAACTGAATGAGGTTCTGTTTCTAAGTTTAACTTAGTAACATACATACTTCACCTGCAAAAATCTTTGCAGGATCTGAAGTACTAAAGTGACACTAATACTGAAACACAGGTAATCAAAGGTACCAAAGCACTGATAACGTGAGTCCTCGTCAAGATAATCTGGGTACATATTGCACACTTCTTGTCAGTTGTTGCTATGACCTTCACATATCCAACTGCAAAGGAGTCCTTTATGGCTTTTTGCTGTATCACTTATTTGAAGAAAGGCTGTTTTAGGTCCCATAACAATGAGTGCAGATTGTCATTGAACATGAGGCCTAGGTTTCAAAATAAGTTTTCCTGTCTGTAAAAAACGAAAAAAAATTTTTTCAGTACATAGCTCTACGAAAAATGCCACCACCTACATGTAAGCCTTAAAGGGCATTCACAAGGTGTCAGGAATTTCTGTATACTTAGTCAAGGTTAAATAATTAATACTTATGTTTCCACAGTTTCCTTTGTGTGGAGCTTTCTTCTGGATTCTTTATTACTTTAAAACATACACTAACTCTGTCATCCTGGCTGGAGTGCAGGGGCATGGTCACAGCTCATCCAATTCCCAGGCTCAATCAGACGAGATCGGGCGCGTTCAGGGTGGTATGGCTGTAGACCCCAGGCTCAATCAATCCTCCCACCGCAGCCCCCTGAGCAGCTAGGACTACAGGCATGCACCATGTCACCTGGCTAATTTTTCTTATTTTCTTGTAGAGATGGGGTCTCACTCTGTTGCCAGGCTGGTCTCAAACTCCTGGCCTCAAGTGATCCTCCTGCCTTGGCCTCCCAAAGTGCTGGGATCACAGGTGTGAGCCACTACGCCCAGCCCGCGCATACATGTCTTTATTTGAATTCCCTATCCACTGACTACCTAGAAATCAAGCCAATCAATCCATGGGATAAAATAAAATTTCTATTTTTTTTACTCAGAAGGTCCACAGCAAAAACAAAATTTCAACTTGTATAGAGTTATACTTCTTACTATATGAAGCTTACAACAATAAATAAAGCTATGTATTTGAACAAAACATTACTCCTTTCCTAAATAAAGTTTTAATTTCTCAGGTTAAAAAGTAAACCAATGGTTGGAGCAACAGACACTCATATGCTGCTGGCATTCAGTATGGGGTATGGGCCGAGTCATATTTATTTAAAAAATAATAAGTACATACCACATTACCCAAACAACTCCACTTTTAGGAATTTATCTGGAGGCAACCAGATGTGAGTGTAAGGATGTACACAGAAGTGTTATTAATGCATTCATGCCACATTTATTGAGTGCCTACTACGTGCCAGGCCCTGTGTGAAGTGCTAGGGATCCAATAACAAACTAAACAAGAACCCTTGTCTTTGTGGAGCTTAAGTTCTAGTGGGAACATAGACAAGGTATTTACTGGGAAACAAACATTATGTCCAATAGGGGATTAAATTATGATGGAGCCATTAAAATGGAACAATATACAATTCAATAGAATGGAAGACCTGAATTTAAGTATGTAAAAAAAAAAATAAGATGAAAATAAAATTTTATGGACAAATTTTTTAAAATTAAAAAAAAAAAAAAAAGAATGTAAAATCTCAATTGAGAGAATGTAGGTTAAAGGGATAAGGCCAGGCAGGACCTTGCACATGGTTAATGTTCAGTAACTGGCATCTCTTAAGTCCTAACACTGGGTCAAAGAAGCAAGTTTAAAAAATTTGTAACATCTTTCTTATATAAAAGGTCAATGAAAATATACAACAAAATTCAACACGTGATTAGCTTTGGACTGATTCCCAGGTGGTTTTAATTAATGTACTTTATTTTTATCCTCAGGTCAAAAGTATTGGCAGGACTCTTGGTAACCTCCTGATTCTCACTTTCACTTAAATTTTGGCTGTTTAAGTTTTGGTAATTCCTTGATATCTTGGGCAGGGGTACAGAGGACACAAGAACAGACAGTTGATTATTGATACTGGTCAATGAGTACATGGGAGTTTGTTATACTGTTCTATTAGGTTTGAAAATTTTCATAATTAAAATTTTAGAAAAAGGTATCAACCTGAGTATATTGTTTGGTAATTTGTGCTTTTTTTTGTGTGCCTAACACTTTATCTTGGAAATCTTCCATAGATTTACTTACAAATTTACATAAAGGTTTACTTCTGGTTTTCTAAGACACAGCTACACCAAAGCCTATTTTACTACTCCCCTGCTGAGAAGTGTAAAGATTGCCTCCATTTTTTTACTACTGCAAAGGATGTTGCAATGAACATTATACTTGTCCCCTTGTGTGCATGTGTGACCGTTTCCCCTCCCCGAGCCAGGGTAGAGACCCAGAAGTAGAACAGTTAGCTCACGGTGCACGCACATTTTACATTTTAAAAGAATAATGAAAAACTACTCTACAAATTGGCTGTACCAATTTATATTGCCAACACAATGTGTATGGGTATATCAATGTCACCATAATATTGGAGTTAGCAGAGTATTTGCCAGTCTGACAGGTAAAGCAAATGAAAACTCACTGTTTTACTTCGCATTTCCCTGATTACAAATGAGATTGTCTAGTCTTTATGTGTGTTTACTGGCCATTTGTATTTCCTCTTCTGTGACATACTTTTCCCCATTTTTTAAATGGACTATTTGTCTTTTTCTTATTGACTTTTATTGTATTTTATTTTTTTTTTAAGAAGTGGGGTCTTGCTCTGTTGCTCAGGCTGGAGTGCAGTGGCATGGTCATAGCCCACTGCAGCCTTGAACTCCTGGGCTCAAGTGATCCTCCTTGCCTCAGCATCCACACCTGGTTTCTTATTGACTTTTAATAGGCCTTTAAATATTCTGAATACTATCCTCTATTTAATAATATCATATACTTTACAAATATGGTCTTCTAATCACAGCTTATTTTCTTGTCTTTTACTATACAAAAGTTTTAAATGTTGGTGCAATCAAATGTATCCCACTTTTTCCATTATGGCATTTCCGTTTTTGTTTTTTTTTTTTTTGAGACAGGGTCTTACTCTGTCATTCAGCCTAGAGTGCAGTGGCATCATCATAGCTCACTGCAATCTCAAACTCCTAGCCTCAAACAATTCTTCTGCCTCAGCCTCCCAAAGTGCTGGGATTATAAGCCACTTGCATCAGGTTGCATTTTTGTTTGTGTCTTTATAATAAAGAAGGCTTTATTTTATCTGGGCGCGGTGACACACGCCTGTAGTCCCAATTACTTGGGAGGCCGAGGTGGGAGGAATTGCTTGAGGCTAGGAATTTGAGTCTAGTCTGGGCAACATAGTGAATGCCATCTCTTTGGGGAAAAAAAAAAGTGAGACCCTGTCTCTACAAAAAATTAAAATAAAAAATTAACCGGGCATGATGGCGTATGCCTATAATCCCAGCTACTCAGGAAGCTGAGGCAGAAGGATCACTTGAGCCCAGGAATCTGAGTCCAGCGTGGGCAACATAGTGAGATCCTGTCTCAGAAAAAAAAAGTGGTAAGATGCATCATGATTTTATGTCATTAGCAAAGATGAAATTGCCAACTCCGCCAATTTCATTGTTAGACTCCATTGATTATTAGATATATCTCAATGGTAGAGATGTTAAGTAGATGTAAAAAGAAGTGTCACAAATCAGTGCTATAAAATAAACTCCCACTATCAAGTCCACAGAGACAATTTACTGTTAATGTCTGTTTTTCTAAAGCCAATCACTTCAGTCCTTTCATGCAAGTCTATAATTTTCTAATGAAAAAAATACTTACATCATCACAAGACATATTGTACTCTGCTAATACCGTTCGACATCGAGCAGCTATACTGAATTAACGTGGTCAAAGGAAAATTTCTCATTTCAAGAGTAAGCTTCTAACAATCACCCACATCACCGAGTAGGTATTTTAATCCAAGAAATAAAATTCAATCCATGTTAAAGGATACATTGATGGTGCAACTACTCTCTTGTGTATTCCAGCAAAGAACAAGCCTATTAGAGTTATACAGCTAATGGTGAAAAACGGATGATTCCATAATGATGTGAAGAAGGACACCTGTAAAACAAAATTTGAAATACAAAAATGTTAAAAATCGTAGAACGATACTGATTCCTACCTCCCCACTCATACATAAATATATGTAATATTTTTATCATCTAAACTATGAAGGTTTGAAGACTTCCAAGAATCCTAGTTCTCTGTATTACCAAGCTGTAAAAATAAAAACAATGTGCATGTTTTGTATCTTCTGTATAGCACGACGATCTAGCAACATTTTCTCCATTTCAAATACTTGAACCATTACAAATTCATTTCTGTAATCAAAAACAACCCTACCAAAGATATGTCCTAAACTCTGGGTTGCTTAAATAGATGAGGCCTCTGATCTCAATGAAAACACAAGCCAAATGTGACCTAGGTACCTTTCCTGTTAAAAAGGTTCCTTAAGAGAACTGAGCAAACTCTGCCATTCATAACCTGGTCCCAGCCTAATTTCCCTCTCCTGCCACACTGCCACACTGCCACACAGGTGCTCCCTTGTTCCCTCTCTCCTCTCTACCTGGCTGACTCCACATCCTTATAAGATGAAGCTCCAGCATCACCCTTTGTCCCTGAAGAAGCAAAAAACAAGTTTGGTTTTGCAGCTACCGAGATTTAGATGGCCACAGGACATTGAAGCAGGGAAAAATGATTAGTAGCTGCCCACAAAGAACTAGAATTAGAGAGAAAGAAAGGGCTAATTTCAGATCTGAGCACAATTAGATGACAGTAGAAGACAGGACAATACACAATTCTAAGCCCATGTAAAAGGACCAGGGCCCAGCATACGTGACTGGAATACTGAAGAGTGGGCACTGAAGCCAGATGACTGGGGAACAGACACGCAGACTGAGAAAGAGAGAAGACAAGCATTTCGAGCACCTGGAAAAACGAATCAAACAGATTAGTAATGAGATGGGAGAACAGAATCAATTAAGGACATCCCCACTTCACTCTCACACCAAGAGATGCGCATGTACGTGTTTCAAGACAGAGAACTAAACATGTGTGCATGTTTCAAGACAGAGAAAAGCACCAGGGAGAAAGTCCAACATGGTAGTGGTTAAATAAGTTTGTCAGGTGAAGAAATGAGAGGCTGAAAACATCAGGAGGGAAGAAGTTCCCAGAAAGATATCCTGAAGAAAGGTTAATATTCCAGAAGAATACCTTCTTAAAACCTCTGAGGAGAATTTAATTGTCACAAGCCAGCTCTGTTTTACGTGGCCTGCACGATGTTAGCGCATACGGAGCTTTATGTCTTAATTTTAATCATGTTAGTCAGTATCAGCCTTCTCTCCTCCATGGCAATAAACAACGGCATCCCAACAGAGTTGTCCCCCATCAGATGGGGCATTCATGCACTTTCCAGTTTGCCATATTCTTTCTCTCTCTAGTTTCTTCCATCTAGCCACTGGCGTCTGAGCTGGCAACTCCTGCTACGGACACAGTTGCTGGTTAAAACTTTTGTCAGGTTTGGGGTTATTAAATACTGAAATATAAAGAGCCAGCCCTTAGGCTAATAGTCATATTCTCACCTAATTTAGAAAATTATATTAACTACATAGTTTTGGGCCTATTTCAAATTACATTTAATTCTGTGTTTTATTAAGATCTCAACTAGCTGAAATCAGCTTATATTTTTCCCAATTAGAAGTCAGACTCATTTCCCAAGACAGATCTTTTTCAATCTTCTTGCCAGCCTCCTTCCAATCTTCCCCTAAAGATGAGTACCAAGTGGAGCCTTAAGATCAGATTTTTATAACTGAACACACAGGAGAGTTTCCTGTCTGTCATCAAAATCCTCTATTAACATAAAATTCCATCACCAACCTCCCCTGCTTCCCATCCTTTTATATCTCCACCTCAGTGGATAAAGTCAGGGAGATCACATGCTAAATAAACCTCTGGCTGTCTAAACTGCCATTGAGAATGATGACAAAAGCCATACTATTAGGTTTTCCTTCTGTATAACCTAGAAGGTAATAAATAAAGCTATTGGGAATAGTCTACTTAATTATAGCTTAAAAAGAAGGAAGGGATTTTTTAAAGATTTGTGAAAAGTACATCATTACTACCTAAATAAAACTGCAACGGGGGAAAAAATCTTCACTGAAAGATTGAAGACTGCTGCTTCTCTAATAAAAAAGCCTCAGTTTGAAATTAAGGTACAAGTTAGTAGAAAGAGGTAGAAATTTGAAAAACATGCTATCAGCTTCCATCAAGAAATGTTTCAAGAAATAACATTAGGAAATCTGTTATTGTATTTGATATAGGAATATTCTTGCACAGTACCCAAGGGGAGATCTCTACCTGTTTCCTCTACTGAACTTCAAGCAGGAAATTGCTTGAGATAAATGCTGAGAAAGAAAAGCTTTGCTAGCTTCAAGGAACTGATATAGGACTTCTCCTCACAGATAATGAAAATCATAGAATTAACTGTCACTTCATTGATTAGATAACTTCGAGAGCAATTTTTTTCTTTTTTTGAGACACAGTCTCCCTCTGTCACTCAGGCTAGCGTGCAGAGGCATCACCATAGCTCACAGCAACCTCAAACTCCTGGGCTCAAGCGATTCTCTTGCCTCAACCTCCTAAGCAGCTGGGACTACAGGTGTTTGCCACTACATTCAGCTAAGTTCTCTATTTTTTATAGAGATGGGGTCTCACCCTTGCTCAGGCTGGTCTCAAACTCCTGATCTTAAGCAACGCTCATGCTTTGGCCTCCCAGAGTGTTAGGATTAGAGGCCTGAGCCACTGTGCCCGGCCCTGGAGAGTAACTTATAATTCAATTCTGGCAATTGTGCTGGACCACACCACCTATATATCAGTGACCTGGTTTCCTTCCTGGTTTTGACCTCCTAGTCTGTTTTTTGTTTAGTCCCTACTTTTTATTACACTTGTATTTTGCTATTTTATCATCTATGTTTCCTGTAAAGTCTCAAATACTTTATGGAATAAAGCAAGGTATTAAGAGAGATAACTCAGAAGGAAATGCTATTTTATGATTTTTAAAAGCTGGCACTGATGACACTAAATGAACAAATCAGAACAAAGAGAATGTTCACAATGAAATGAGTAAAAATAAGCTATTTAAAAAAAATGTAAAAACTATACAAATTCAGAAATAATGAAAAATAATGTAAGTGGAGTAATATTTCCTAGGTCTTTTCCCTTGTAAAGATACTTCATTCACAACAGCCTGCCAAAGTTTTCCTTAAGCAAATTAATATAAGGCATATTTTTAATATAATGATTAATATCATTAGTAGTAATAATAGGTTACATTTGAATACTTTATAATTAACAAAGTACAAAGGGATAACAAAGCAAATCCCTTATCTCATCTAATCCACTAAAGATTTTAAAACAAAACTTCTACCTTTTGTGTCTCAGGATCTATTAACCAGTTCCAGGCACCAGTAGCTGTACAGACAGATACCACTATAAGCAGCACTGATAAAAGATAAACACAAAATTAGTACGCAAATACACTTTTACTAATTGATACTGCCACCACCAGTTCCTAATAAATGGCAGCCAAACAATATAGCACTTTATTAAATGGAAAATGCACAGACCAGACTCGGGCATTAGGAGACCTGCCATATGACCTTGAGAAAAACTCCCTTAAACACTGTCAACCTTAGTAATTGATGATACTGTCTCCCTTGTTCTTAACACTTAGTCAGAACTTATGAAGACTAATGAAATTAAAAGAACCCAGATGGTGAAACTTCAATATCAGATTTTATGTTATGTAACTTTTACTGTGTTCTGTGATTTTGCAGATTTTATAAATCCGAATTAAAAAAAAAAACACCTCTCATTTTCTAAAGTCAACAAACCAAACAAAGACTCCTTTTTGAATGTACTAAGAAGTCCAACTAAAGGATTTCTACCTTGCAGACAACTGCCAGCTGTTGAGTTAAACAAAGGTCAGTGTAGGAAGTATGGAGCATGCCAGTCAGTATCACATTTTCTTTAAGAGACTTAAAGGAAAGTAGGGTAGAAATTATTGCTAGTGGAATTTAGAAAAGGTTTCTTCCTCCCCACTAAGCCAGAATTATTTTGGCAATTCTAAATAAACCATAAGTAAAACTTAAGAATAAATAGTATTACTAAAAAATAATAAAGGGGCACCAAAACCTAGTTAACATTCTGCAGATGATGCCAGTTGCCTTTCAGTCAGGATGCATACTTTTTTCAAATGTGGAGCATTTTCAAAGAGCAACAGAAATATAGTAAAACCTTAATTATCTAGAATTCCTGGTGACGTACTTTTAGAAAAAGCAAATCATAGAAAAAAACCTCTCATTTTAGGTATTTAATTATAGAATCAAAATTTCAAAATCATGTTCTGAGCTCAGAACTGATTAAACTCAATTTCTTATAATTCTATATTTCCAGAAATTTACCATTATTACGCAGGTATTTTTTTTAAAATGAAGCAAAAGCAAAAAGGTCCGAGATAGGACCTCATATGTATGCTTTTATTTGATTGGTACATTAGCCAAACTGATGTCATTTACATGTAAGTTCTGAGACTATGTATGAGTCAGAAAAAGTAAAGTGTGTTCATAATACTGCACTTTATAAGAGAACACAGAATCATACACATTTGCTCAAGTAACAGTGAACCAAAGGTTTTAGGGATAATTCCTAGGTAAGCCAGAAAACCTAAGAAAATCATTATCTGTAAATTCTGACCAATCGGAATTCTCACACCATATGATTAAAACTTTGCAAATCGGCTGGGCGTGGTGGCTCATGACTGTAATCCCAGCACTCTGGGAGGCCAAGGTTGGAGGATCGCTTGAGCTCAGGAGTTAGAGATCAGCCTAAGCAAGAGTGAGATCCCCTCTCTACTACAAATAGAAAAATTAGCCAGAAATTGTGGTGAGCACATGTGTAGTTTCAGCTACTCCGGAGGCTGAGGCAGGAGGATTGCCTGAGCCCAGGAGTTTGAGGTTGCTGTGAGCTAGGCTGACGCTATGGCACTCGGGGCAACAGAATGAGACTCTGTCTCAAAAAACAAAAACAAAACAACAACAAAAAACCTTTGCAAATTGATTTAATAAAAATTGCACGAAAAATCTTGACACAGAAAAAGATCCCTGGCTGGGCACAGTGGCTCATGCCTGTAATCCTATCACTTTGGGAGGCCAAGGCAGGAGGATTGCTTGAGGCCAGGAGTTTGAGATCAGCCTTAGCAAGAGCGAGATTAAAAATACAAAAATTAGCTGGGCCTGGTGGCATAAGCCTGTAGCCCCAGCTACTTGGGAGGCTGAGGCAGGAGGACTGCTTGCGCCCAGGAGTTTAAGGTTGCAGTGAGCTATGATGATACCACTGCACTCTAGCCTGGGCAATAGAATGAGACTCTATCTCACAAAAAACAAACAACCTTCCCCCCAACTTCAATAGTACTCTTTTGTTCCTCCATACTGAATTACACTTTGAAATAAAATATGTCCTCAATGTGGGTTACTGTACTTCCTTCTTGGCAGGAATTAAATTTCAATAATGAACACCCAAGAAATTAAGACTGGTCCCAATGCAGGTTAGCAAAGTGTTTTGTTTGATGATCTCATCACTTGCATGTTTGTCCAGATTTCTTATATATTTCCATGGGGCAGTAACCACAATTCATTCAAATCCCATTTTGAAGCACTCATGATATTTATGAATACATAGTGATAATGTGAATTTCTTTTCTCTATCAGGCTCCAAAGCAACACAATTATGCTTTGCTAAAAATCAACTACAGGTAATTTCATAACCATTGCAAGTATACATTAATATAATTTTTTAAATAAAACTTTACTGTATAGTTTGTAGGCAAATTGTAAAACCGCTTAACAGACTATTGAAATTTTTATGTGTTATCAAAGTTGGAATTTGTTTAATAAAAATTAAAGTCTATGTATTTTAATGGAAAAATAAAAATTCAACTACAAGAAATAGATTGTTCTTTCAGAGAGACCTGTTATGATTTTATTTTCTTAAAAATTTCTTTATAATGCATTGTTTACAATGTCAAATAAATATAAAAATTGTCTAAACCAAAAGAAATCTTATGGTTTACTAAAAGTAAGCATCTGTTAATCTAAAATTCTATTAAAAAAGCAAATCATTCCTATATATGGAAAAAGTATCAACTATCAGTTTATTTTCCCTTAAAAAACATTCAGGAACTTACTTCTCCAACGTCCAGTGGCAGGTTGCAAACAATGAATATATTCAGTAAGTCTCCTCTCAAAAGCCTTGAGATCTAGGTAAAAAGATTTCAATTTTCTAATTAGCCACTCTTAACTAGTTTGAGTCTACTAAGACAAAATTTTAGATACTCTAACTGCTTCAGGTCTTACACACCAACTTACATGTATCACTGCACTGTTTACTTCGTTTACTATGACAGCTTTAAGCACTTGACAAAAACATTAGGTTTCTTTAATTCCAATTTCACATATAAGGAAACTGGCTGGTTCACTTTTAGAAGCTTCGTAAAATGGTATGTGGAAAATCAGCAGCAACCTCAGCCGGCGCCAAAAGCTAGAATTTTGGGGGTTGCAAATAAAAGGATTAAAATCAGGTCGAGTTTTAATTCTGTTGGAACCAAAAACGTTCTATTAGAACAACATTATTACCGACTACCAAAGTCTTCGAGGTCTATTTGCCTGCAGTTACCCGACCTTAGTGTCTAGCTCTTTATTTAATTAATGGCTCCACTGTCTGGTCTTACTAGACTTCTTGACGCTGATAACGGGTGGGTGTGGAAAGACACTCCCCTTTCCTCCCTCCAAAGGGGTTATAGGTGACCTTCGTGGCACTATAGAAGCGCCGACACCTAGTTCTAAAAAACGGGAGCGTCCAAGATGCTCCCTCTGAATGAGAGGTGGAGTATCCTTTCCACAGTGGTGTGTTTTCAACTTTGAAAGACCAAGAAGCACGCCCTAACCCCGACAGTTACCGGAAACCACAGCAGGAATCGGGGAGACCACTTGTGGGGTTGTCAGAATAGAATGAAGATAAAATGAACAACCACACTACAGTGCACGACGTGCAAGTGTTTGCCAATGAGCACAAAATAAAAGTGAAACCCGGAGAGCAGCTCCACGGTCTAAGCAGGGATGGGAGGAATGGAGGGACCTGACGCACCGCCCTCGGCGTCGGGCCAGGTCCGGACGCCCCTCGGCAGGTCCCCGCGCCCCCAAGCTCCGGGCCCCGTCACTCCATCCTCCGCGGCCTCCTCTCCCCCGGCGGGGTCTCCGCGACTGCGGCCCCTCCGGAGCCCCGCCAGCTTCCGAGAGGAGACCTGGGACGGGCCCGGGGGGCCCACCCTACCTTCCGCCTGCTCCAGCGAGTTCATGTCGGGCAGCAGTTCGGTTCACTGCCGCGGGCCCGTCCGCATCGCAGCTTCTGCAGCCCCCGCCCGGCCCGCAGCGCCAACTCCCACCTCTAACCGCTCCCCTCTGCCCCTCCCCGTCGCACCGCCCCTTGCCTACATCCGCCACGCTCATTGGGCACTTTTGCCAGACCGCCCAACCAAGACGGTTTTCTATTGGCTAACTCCTGCACTCGCCGCGGGGCCAAGCATTGGACGGTCAGCCGGAGGGACCAAGAACTGCCGGCGGCCGGGATGGCGTAACGCTGGCGCCGCCTCCTGCCCCGGGGAGGAACTGCAACCTGTCGGAGCCGGGTCGTTCATTCACATGTTCCTGGTTAGTTCCCTGCTTGGTTTTTTTCATTCCTCAAATGTTGCTTGAGCGCCCACTGCCTTCAGGGCAACAGAAAGCAACGAGCTGGCCCTACCCTCAAGGATCTCAAAGAGGAATCAGATGTGAACAGAACAACTAGAACCCCAAATAATGTATTTCCTTAATTATGGTACCCTAGATACCTAACCCCTTATAAGAGTAAGCTTTTCTGTCTTGGTTACTTTTTCTCGTCACCCAACTTTCACGAATCATAAACGAGGCAAAGTATAAACCCCAATACCTGTCACTTAAACAAAAATCTGTAAGGGATTGATTGCACTTATATTTGATTACAATGCCTTCTTGCTCATTTCCTGGTGGTCATTCATTCATTCAAGAACTATTTATTGCATAACATGCTAGGCACTGTATTTATCAGGGACACAGTTATAAGCAAGATAGACAAGATTCCTGTCCTCAAAGTGGAAGGGTTACAGCAGGCAACAAACATGGAAATAAGGAATTGATTTCAGATAAGAATAATTCTATGAGAGAAGTAACAGGGTAATTTAAGATACAGCAAGATAAAGGAAGGTTGGCAGGAGCTATTGTTCTGGGAGGGCTTCACGGGGGCATTTAACATGAGAACCCAGAGATGGATGAGAAGAAACCAGACGTGCAAAGATGAGGGCTGAGAAGGTTGTAAGCAGCACTGAAATTTTTTCAGTTGTGGTATTTTCTATATTTTATTCATTCTCCTTCCCACTTGCCAGCAGAATTAACTGACACCTCTCCCACTTACTTCACTTTGTAGGGTCCTCTACCATAGCACCTTTCAAAGTTTCCCATTTAGAGAGCCTTCCTCTGTCCAAACGCTTTGTATGCATTAGCTCATTTAACCCTCCAAGGTAATATTTTCTAAACTGTGGATCCAAAGCCATAAGAGGGCTGTACAATCCATATGATCAGTCATGATTATTCCTTTTAAAAAATGAATTAAGCTAAAATAAAAATGACATCATTAGAAGTGAAGGTATGTATTGTTTCATGACCTTGTGTTTCAGTCGTGCGTGTTTGAGTGTGTATGTGTTCTCATCACATCGTAAAGCATATACCTAACTGAGGGTTCCAGTAAAAAAAAGTTTGAAAGTTTGAAAGTCATCACAGTTGCTATTAATAGGCCCATTTTGCAATTGAGAAAAGTAAAAAAATGAGTTTTCCCAGGTCTTGCAATTATTGTCATAGCCTGACTTTAAGCCCCAAGTTAAACTACCCTTTTTGACTTCTTGCTCAATGTTCCATTTCTCCATCTCCAAGTCTAATTCATCACATTTCCCTTTGGCACCCAGCAGTGCTTAGAGAATGGCTATTGAACATCTGCTATATGACAGGCTCTCCCGGGCTAGATCCTGGGGAGGTGAGGAGTGAGACAGACTGATGAATAGGACACTGCAAAGCATTGTGGTAAGTGAGAGCTCTGCTAACTTGCCTTCAAAAGAGACCGTCTGTTAACCGCAGGGCTTTTGTTTGCCTGAGGGGGGTATGCAAGTTTCTAGCAAGAGCTTGGGACAACAGAGGGAAGAGTAAGGGTTACCTCCTGGGGTCCTGCCTCTCCAGGCTTCATTTTCAACTGTGTTAAAATAAATGTTGAACATGCCATTATCTACATTTATGGATGATGGGGGTTTGGGAGGCAGTAAGGGAGGAAGAGAGGAAAATAAGGCCTTATAGCAAGGTTAAGGAATTTAGAACTTGAGATAATGGGGGACCAAAGGGAACAGATTTTGGAACATCACATTGATGGGATTTGCCAAGGAGAAGATAGGAACAGGTATTTAAGGAATACACGTTCCAGGCACTGGGCTGTGAGCTGAGGATGCAAAGATCTATAAGACTCACTCTTGCTATTTATTAAGATAGAGTTTAGTGTCAAAACAAAAGAAGACAAAATACTAAAGACCCATAAAACATCAGGGACAAGAAGATCAGCTTCTAAGAGGGATATCCAATAAAATAGCTAAAGTTTGTAATCTTTTACCAAGCGGCCTGGCACTCTGCCTTTTTTAGTTCAGGAGCATTATATCTCCATTAAACCTCACAATAACAGCTCTGTGGGCCAAGGGGTGTTATCAAACCCATTTTAGAGATGAGTTTAGAGATTAGTAGATAGGTTGATCAGCCTGAAACTCTGTAGCTAGAGTTATATTCTCTCTTTCTCTCTCTTCCCACGTGGTACATCAGATCTGTTAGCAAACCCTTTGGCACTACTCTCAACATGTATTAAAAATTTAACTGCTTCTCACCACCTACACTGGTACTCTGGTCCGTGCCACCACACAGGCTGGACTGTGACAATGGCCTCTAACTGCTCTCCGGCTTCCACCCTGTCCCCAGCAGTGGTTTGTAAAACACTAAAAGATAACATTACCCTTCTGCTCAAAACCCTCCAATGTCTTCCCAGAGTGACTGCAGCAGTGATCTTCACACCATTTCTCTTGCTGTACCTTCAAAAAAAATTTTGACAAACTATATGCCACTTCACAATTTTTTTTTTTTTCTTGAGACAGAGTCTCACTCTGTTGCCTGGGCTAGAGTGCCGTGGCGTCAGCCTAGCTCACAGCAACCTCAAACTCCTGGCTCAAGCGATCCTTCTGCCTCAGCCTCCCAAGTAGCTGGGACTACAGGCATGCGCCACCATGCCCGGCTAATTTTTTCTATATATTTTTAGTTGTCCAATTAATTTCTTTCTATTTTTAGTAGAGACGGGGTCTCGCTCTTGCTCAGGCTGGTTTCGAACTCCTGAGCTCAAACAATCCACCTGCCTCCGCCTCCCAGAGTGCTAGGATTACAGGCATGAGCCACCGTGCCCGACCAACTTCACACATTTTTAAAGTGACATCTGAAATTTTCATCATGGGTTTGAATACTTGTAAAAGATGTAATTGCTGGTATGGTGTAGATATTGACATTTGGAGATAAAGCTGTTACATCATTCTTTTAAATGTATTCAATGGAATAGAAATTCCATGGCAGTTTGATATTCACCATCATCCCGTTAAAAATACACAAATATCTCTTACAAATATAGACACAAAAATCCTCAGAAAATACTAGCAAATCAAATTCAGCAATGTAACAAAAGGATTATACACCACAATGAAGTGTGATTTATCCCAGGAATGCAAAGTTGGTTTAGCATCAGAAAATGAGTTAATGTAATACATCGTATCAATAGAATAAAGGAAAAAATTCATGATTTGATGAGGATGTTAAGAAATCGGAGCACTCATACATTGCCAGTAGGAATTTAAAATGGTACGGCCACTTTGGAAGACAGTTTGGCAGTTCCTCAAAAACGTAAACATACAGTTACTATACGAACCAGCAACTCCACTCCTAGGGGAACTCTCCCAAGAGAATTGAAAACAAAATTTCATGTAAAAACTTATACACAAATATGTAGAACAGCATTAGTCATAGTAGCCAAAGAGTGGAACACGACCCAAATGTCCATCAACTAATGAATGGATAAACAAAACATGGTGTAAACATATAACAGACTATTATTCAACAATAAAAAGAAATGAAGTACTGATGCATGTTACAAAATGGATAAACCTTAAAGCATGATGCTAGGTGAAAGCAGCCAACCAAACACAAAAGATAACATATTGCACGTTTCCATTCACATGAAATGTCCAGCATAGGTACATCCACAGAGACAGAAAGCAGAACTGTGGCTGTCAAGGGTTTGGGGAAAGAGAAGATGGGGAGTGACTGATAAGGTATACAGAGCTTCTTTTAGGGGAATGAAAACGTGGAATTAGATGGGGACAATGGTGGCACAACTTTGTAAATATACTTGAAAGCTCTGAATTGTATACTTCAAAATGGTTAATTTTATGGCATGTAAATTATATCTTAATTTAAAAATAGGGGGGAAGCCCCACATGGTTATCTCAATAGTTGCAGAAAAAGCATTGGACAAAATCCAACACCGTTTCATGATAAGAACACTCAACAAGCTAGGACTAGAAGGGGAATTCCTCAATGTGATAAAGGGCCTCTACGATACCCACAGCTAACATCACACTTAATAGTGAAAGGCTGGATACTTTCCCCTAACATCAGAAACGAGACAAGGGTATAGGCCAGGCACGGTGGCTCACGGCGTAATCCTAGCACTTTCGGAGGCTGAGGCAGGAGGATCACTTGAACTCAGGAGTTCAAGACCCTGTCTCTATAAAAAAATAGAAAAAAAATTAGCTGGGCATGGTGGTACGTGCCTGTAGTCCCAGCTACTTGGGAGGCTGAGGCAGGAAGATCCCTTGAGTCCAGGAATTTGAGATTGCAGTGAACTATGATGATGCCACTGCACTCTAGTCCTGGTGACAGAGCAAAACCCTGTCTCGGGGGGGAAGAAAAAAAGACAAGATGTACACTCTTATCACTTTTGTTGAATATTGTACTGGAGGTTTTAGCCAGGGCAATTAATCAAGAAAATGAGATCAAAGAAATTCAGATTAGAAAGGAAGAAATAAAATTCTCTGTTTGTAGGTGACGTGATCGTATATGTAAAATCCTGAAAAATCCACTAATAAACTATTAGAACAAATAAATGAGTTCAGCAAGTTTGCAGGTTATAAAATCAATATACAGAAATCAATTGTATTTCTCTACACAAAAATGAACAATCCAAAAATGAAATTAATAAAACTCCACTTATAATAGCATCAAAAAGAAAAAATATTTAAAAATCAATTTAACAAAAAAGGGCAAAAC